CAGGCAGCCTCTCTTTTCCATATTCTCTACAAACCAGAATTTAAATCTTACTGCAGAAAGCTTGGATTTTGCACTAACCCAGCCAGTGTGGATGCTAGAAACAAACATCAGTGTGGCACTGTGCCCAGACCAGCACAGGCACAGAGCCACACATGGTGATAGGTCCCGCAACTGGGCTGGTAACTCTTAGGTTTTTACTGTGCGATGTGGTGGTACTGTCATGCTTGGGAAGCAAGAGGGTGTCTTGGCATGTGCTGCTGCTTCTACATATTCCATTTAATTATTTTACAGCACCACAATAACACAAACCCCAGCTAACATTGCTTTTAATGTCAAGTTTCCTTGGGCCAACTACATTTAAGGTAGAAGAAGTATGATGACCCTAGATACCTATGAAAGGGCCTTGCTTGCCATTTCAGTTAGTGTTGGTGACACCCAAAGGTGTAGCAATGCTACGCGTGATTCCAGGCTGGACTTCAGCCCAGTGGCTTGAAGGGGCTTTGGTACGGAAGCTGATGGCAGGATACATGGTGGCAGCAGCAGGTACAAACTGTTGCCATTGCAGTAGTACGTGTCCTGCAGGAGCTCAGGGCCGGTAACCCAGGCTCAATGAAAAACCAGAGGGAGGGTCATGCCAAGAGGGCAGCTTGACAGGTTTTTATTGCTCATGCCGTGATTCTTCTGTAAAGCCTCCAGGGTCTCACTGTTCTTGAATTTCTCATTGCTAGAACAATTAACAAAGTGCATTTGTGCTCTTAGTGTCATCTTGTGGTAACTTAATAGTAGCATCCATGAACAAAGTGCCAGATAAAGAAAGGGGGGGGGGGGCATCATGGTGAAGATAGGATTTACTGAGTTGTATTATTTCTGCTGTCCCCAAAGCAGAACAGAGTTCCACACACTAAGGAAAGGATAATTTATACTGAGAAGATCAATAGAAGGTAGACACTGCCATCACTTCACCTGTCACTCATATACCTAACAACTGCTGCCTATATGTCTGAGAATTAATCCAACCCAAACAACACATACCCTGTAATAGGCAAGTTGAACAGGCAAGGAAAGTTTTCTTTGCAATATCTTTATTTTGAAAAGTAAAGAAATAATAGAGCCTTATGTTTAAGACCAGGTAAGGTGCATAAATTCAAGTTTTGGAGGTCTCTCTATAATCTTAGGCAATTTGTTATAATAGCATCCGTACAAGCTTGCTAATTTGGGCAGCAGTTTACCATCAAATATTGGTATCCTCTTTTATCCGTGCTACTTACCTGTTAACTTACACTCTGGTTTGAGCCTGGGAGAAACCAACCAAGTTCTCTAAACAAAGGAGGTCAAAATAAGTTAAGCACCATGTCACATTTAAGGTTTCTCCCTGAAGGATAGGTAAGTCTCACTTAAATCACTGTTCTAAGACTGCAAGCACAGCTATTGAGGACAGGCCAGATGCAAGCTGGGTGTAGTTCCCTAAGCCTAGAGTGGATTAAAAGGTATGATTGCAGATCACTAGGGAAACTTTAAGACAGCTTGTAACAGATGAGCTAAGAATGGTGTGTATTATTAGCACCTAAGTACAGATTTTTTGCAATCTAAGGCTATCTATCTTAGTTATTGCTTAAATGTGCTAAATAAGAAAGGTGGCTGATCCCAAAGACATATATCAGACTTGTTAATGGACAAAAGCACATTGTCAGTGGACTATGTTTTATATATATAAATATATAAAAAAGCCCTCCATAACATACATATATATGCAGTGCCTCTGTTTCATAGTACCTGAACTATTTATGCTGTAGTATTGCTAGAGGAAAGGACACTGCATTTGCAATTCATTAGATCTCCAAAGAAACGACTAGTAAACACTTTATTGGTGCTATTGAGTAAATGTGTAAGAGGCCAGAAAAGCAATGTAATAACAAAAGAAAAGATGGCAGATGAATTATAGAGCTACATCAAGCGTTACCCTCATACCACCCAAGAAGGCCTGATCATCAGTATTCAGCCGTCAGTATTGCACCTATAGCTTTAGAATTTCAGACCTGAAAGAAAAAAAAAAGCAAGAATTTGGCTTTTGTTCACTGTGTGAAAGGGGAGCGTGTAGCTCCTCACAGTCCCACAGGACATGCAGAATTCAGTGACTTGCTCTCTACAACCTTTCACTGGAGGAATATAAAGGCAGGAAATGTATTTGTGATACTAATTAAAGATTAGAAAATCCTCATTTAGGAAAATACCCCATGGAAGGGTATTAAGAAGAAAACAAAACAAAACAAAACACAAAAAACCCCACAAAAAACAAACAAACAAAAAACCCAAAAAAAAACAACAAACCACCCAAAAAAATACCAAACAAAAATACATCCAAAACACAAAGAAACAACTAAACTTATTTCTGTTCAAAGTGATGGAAAGAGCTGTATTTCTCAACTTAAGAGAAAAGGGGATTAAAAGAGCACCCTGGTTGGGGTGAAATGGGTTATAAAATGAGACATAAAGCATTTTATTTCAGTGCCATCAAGGGTCCAAACTACAGAACAGTCCTTTAGTCTAAGGACTGAAAGATGACAGACATCTAAGTCTGGACATTAAAGTCCAATTTAATATAATGAGCTATTTGAAAAACTGGCAGTCCTTCTCCTAAAATAAAGCAGTGAGAAAATGTCATTCTTTTTGGCACAATTAAAAAAAACCCTGAAATTCTTCTAACCAATATTACGGCTCAGTGGAACACAATCCATTATTACAGCACCAAATTTTACCAAGAGAAAGACTTTGAGAACTGAGACAATGTTTTGGGACCATATTGTACCCAAATCTAAAACTTGGAACCCATTTTAAGCGATCGTCATTTTATATAGACCTGTCAGAGTAGCAAAAAAATTCAAAGGTAAATTAATATCTGGAAAGACCTGCATAATGTACAGTCTTGCTGATTAAAAGTAATGCACAGAGCATGAACTGGTATTAATAAAAGTACAAAATAATGTGCTATCCCCCATGGTATATATAAATGTTGGCTTCACTTATGTGTTTTTGGAAGTACTGTTGTCATGGTTACCATTCAGCTGTCTTTAAGTTTTAATATGCCCCATTTTGTAAGGTTGAGGTTCAGTTCAAGTTCATATGAAGCAAATCTACTGAAGTTTTCAGATGTGGTCTCTAATTTAATGTGCATTATTTTCCGAGAGGCCAACTTGAAATACTTTTGGCATAATTTTAAAGAGATGTCAACCACCTTCAGATGCAGCAGAAGTCAATGACCTGTATACAGTGACTGAGTCATGAATAATCTGCCAAATGGCATAGGCCATAACAATCTTATCATAAAAACCTATAAACCTGTTTCACTTGGTATAAGGAATGTTTCTGTACTCCTGCAGGCTGAACTTATCACCATTAGACGCTAAATGAACAATGTGTCATTCTCTTGAGCATTTATATATTAGTCTGAAACTATAGGAATGCTTGACTGTAATATTATAAAACATAATCTTAATTCCTATGTGAAATATCAATCATCCAATACTTCAGGTCTATTCCAGCGAAAAACTTCATTTCCCTTTTAGCCAATTTCCTCATGTTCAAATATGGCGGGGGGGGGGAAGGGTATTTTTGTGTGAGTGAAAGGCTTTGTCGTAGTTTGTTAAAAAGCTTGAGGTTCAAACCAAGATACTCAGCAGTAGCCGTAAAACCAGGGAAACTGAGAATTAACTCAAGTAACTGTGTGGGCTTTGCATTGTCCTCTGCAGGTGTGTACCCGAGTCAAACTGATGTGTAAATGTCCTTTTTTGCTTCTCTATAAAAACAGATGGATCTGCTCTTCAAAGTAGCCTCTTTGCATTGTTAGCCATAAAGAAGTCCTTATCACCACCTTCAGCAAGCCACATGAACCACAGAAGACTGTAGGAATGGCTCTTTCCTTGCCTTCCCTTTTCCCTATTTAGCTTTAGCTGAGCAATGTGGCACAGAGGCGTTGATCTTTTTTTGTAGTGATGTGCATAGCAGTGCAGCCTGTTCAGAGGGAAAAGGAAGTGTTGTGGTAAAGCTTTGGTGTAGTCAAGTTTCCTTTGAGCGTATTGCATCCAATTTAAGACTAATCTTAATAGTGACTCCTTTTCTCTTTGGTACAAAAATGGGAAAGGAAAAATAAGGGGAGAAAGAACGTTCTAGATCACTATCTCTTTATTCTAGGTTCATCTCTTCCATAGTCTTTCAGCTTTTTGTATTTCTGGTTTTTGACTTCTGTTCTGTCAAGCGTAGGCATAGACAAACTAGCTGCACCCACTATGTTCCCCATGGCAGGTCTTCCTCTGGCTTCAGTACTCATATTTTCCTAGAATTATTCAAAGACTTGGTTTCTTTTCCTTTTTGACTGCTGGGCTGTTCGTTTCTTTGGTTTTCTTTGTTTCCTTAATGACTTGGCCCTTGTGGACATCTGCAGCGGAGTGTCCCAGAGCATCTCTTTTCAGATTGTCTCTGCTCAGTCATACATCTCACAAGTGTATAGGGTGCAATAGTTAAAAAATTCTTGCCCTTTGCAATAGCTCCAGAAGGTTTCTGAGTCACTAATTTAGTTTAAAAGGAAAATTTAAAGTGTAGGATGCAAAATGCAGCATAAACCATAAAGAGGACCAGGTCAGCATTCGTATTGTATGAACACATGCATAATCACCTATGTGCCTATATGTATATATACAGTTGTGTGGACTTTCGAAAACACACTTCTGCTGCACATCTACACATTATTGACTCAATTTCTTTGTTTATTCATTGCTTGATTTGGCTATCTTTTGGGGAACCATTCAGACATATAAGCAGGGTTGCTATATCTCTGTGTAGGTGTGTGCATTTGTAATTGAAGATAATAATAGGGTTTTTTATTAGACTTCTCAACATTGTTTCATTATTTGATTTCACAGTGTGCATTCTTCATGGTTCTTCACCTATTTTGATACTAAATGAGCCAATATATTATAAGCTTTATCTCCTAAACCCGAGTTAAGCAGCATCAGATACCTGAAGATGACTTGTATGCAAACTGGATTGAAGGAGGACTTTTTGGCCTCTGTTTCCAATTCCAGTATATGTTCAGGTGAGTGGAAAATGTTTGCTGCTAACCTCAATGCTGAGCTGCCAGTTTATTGCACAAGTGATACACATCCGTACACTTGGTGATGTGGTCTGTGATCTATGGAAGGAGGAAGAGAGCGCTGAGATGGACTCCAGATGCACCTACTTGTTATGCTGTGGGCTCTGAAGGCCTGGAACCATGCAAAATAGCATTTCAAAAGTCACTTGTAGGTCACTGCATGAGACAGTAGCAATAACATCTCTAAACAGGCTGCCTCTGCTGCAAAAGTGTCACCTGCTTTTGCACCATGTGAAACACTGAATTGATCAAGAGACTGTCTTCCACTGCAAGGTAAGCCTTCTCCTCTAGTAAGTAAGTTCACAGTACAGATGTGTGGGAATATTTATATCATAAACCCATGATTTTAACAGGTTATTAGCAAAGCACCAGCAGGGGGCCCGAAATACAAAGACTAATCTGGGATTTGTTCAGGAAACTCAAATAATTTTTCAGAGCGTAACTGATCAAACTTCGTACTTAAAATAAAAACCTCCACCCCAAAGTCCTCATTCTGCCTGCTTGATATTAAATGGTAAAACACTGCAGAAGTGAAAATATCCTGGAGCCCTCTATCATCTTCATTATCTTCACTGGTGAAGTGACTGAGTGAGTGCAGAGGTGTGAAATTCCAGCAGAGAAGAACATGCTGTTTTAAGAGGAAGTGCTGACATGCAGGCTACAATTAGACAAAAAATGACTGCTGACATTTAAAAATCATTACAGAGAGGAAATTGTGAGTGTAATTATGTCATCATTGACACTGCTCAAGTGTGCTGATGCATTTTTGCTGATCAAAATCAAGTGTTTATATTTGTAAACAGAATGCACTTAGCAACTCTATCAGTGGAAATGTTCTAGACAAGAACTAAGGAAAATAAAGCCGAGGCACTTTGATGAAATATTCTTTTTCCCTTTTTTCAGTATTCTATCTTCCTTTTTTTTCAGTATGATAGAATGATAGAAGAATGATAGGCATGGCCATTCTGAAGGATACCAAAAGTCCGTTCTTGCAAAGACTTGATGCCTACAGAAGGCTATGAGAGAACAATAAACATATAATTATTATAAGTAATTTGGAATGTAGTGAACTGAATACAGTGGGCTAGGATGTAGTAGAATATAGCAGAGCACACCAGAACATACTAGAATTTAGCAGAAGACAGCAGAACAAACTGGAATGTAGCAGAAAATAATAGAATACAGCAGGACATACTACAATACAGCAGAACACACCAAAATATACTAGAATATAGCAGAACACGCCAGAATACACTAGAATATAGCAGAGCACAACAGAATATACTAGAATACAGCAGCAGACTTAGTAAGGTTCCATGGGATATAGCCCTAGAGGGCAGGGGGGGGCAAGGCTGTTGGTTGATATTCAAGGATTACCTGCTACAAGCTCAGGAGTGTTGCATCCCAATTAGAAGGAAGTGCAGCAGGACAGCCAGGAGACCTCCTTGAATGGATAAGGAGCTACTGAGGAAGCTTTGAGGGGAAAAAAGAGGCTTATAACAGGTGGAAGCAAGGGCACGCAGCCTGGAATGAATACAGGGATGTTTTCTGGGAAGCTAGGCACAAGGTTAGGAAAGCTAAGGCCCATTTAGAATTAAACTTGGCTAGGGATCTTAAGGATAACAGGAAAGGATTCTATAGGTATGTAGCAAATAAAAAAACAGACTAGGGATAATGTAGGACCCTCTGGAAGCTATCAGGAGAACTGGCTATACAGGATTTGGAGAAGGCTGAGGTTCTGAATGACTTCTTTACCTCAGTCTTCACTGGCAAAGGCTCTGACCGCACCACCCAAGTCTTGGAAGGCAGACACAGGGACTGTGAGAATGAAGACCTTGGGCCCACTGTAGGAGAGGAACTGGTTTGAGACCATCTTAAAAAGACGTAAACGAGTCCATGGGTTCTGATGAAATCCATCCGCGGGTCCTGAAGGAGCTGGTGAATGAAGTTGACAAGCCACTGCCCATCATATTTGAAAAATCATGGCAGGTGAATTCAGTCAGATGAAGTTCCCAACAATTGGAAAAAGGGAAATATAACCCCCATTTTCAAGAAGGGGAAAATGGATGACCCCAGGAATTACAGACCAGTCAATCTCACCTCTGTGCCTGGCAAAATCTTGGAGCAGATTCTCCTGGAAGGCATGCTAAGGCAGATGAGAAACAACAAGGTGCTTGGTGACAGCCAGCATGGCTTCACTAAGGGGAAATCCAGCCTGACCAATTTGGTGACCTTCTATGATGGGGCTACAGAACTGATGGACAGCCGTAGAGCAGCTGATGTCATCTGCCTGGACTTGTGCAAAGCGTTTGACACTGTTCCACACGACATCCTTTTCTCTAAATTGGAGAGACATCAATTTGATGAATGGACCACTCAGTGGATAAAGAACTGGCTGGAGGGCCGCACACAAAGAGTTGTGGTCAATGACTCAATGTCCATCTGGAGACCAGTAACGAGGGGTGTCCCTCAGGGATCGGTGTTGGGATCAGTCTTGTTAAATGTCTTTGTCAGTGACATGGACAGTGGGATTGAGTGCGCCCTCAGCAGGTTTGCTGGTGACACCAAGCTGTGTGGTTCGGTTGATACGCTTGAGGGAAGGAATGCCATCCAGAGGGACCTTGACACGCTTGTGAGGTGGGCTGATGCCAACCTCATGAAGTTTAACCATGCCAAGTGCAAGGTCCTACACCTGAGTCGGAGCAGTCCCAGGCACAGTTACAGGTTGGGCAAAGAAGAGATTCAGAGCAGCTCTGCAGAGAAGGACTTGGGGGTGCTGGTCGATGAGAAAATGAACATGAGCCGGCAGTGTGCAGTCGCAGCCCAGAAAGACAACAGTATCCTGGCCTGCATCAAAAGGAGTGTGACCAGCAGATCGAAGGAGGTGATCCTGCCCCTCTACTCTGCTCTTGTGAGACCTCACTTGAAGTATTGTGTACAGTTCTGGTGTCCTCAGCATAAAAAGGTCATGGAACTGTTGGAACAAGTCCAGAGGAGGGCCACGAGGATGATCAGGGGACTGGAGCACCTCCCATATGAAGATAGGCTGAGAAAGTTGGGGCTGTTCAGCCTGGAGAAGAGAAGGCTGTGTGGAGACCTCATAGCAGCCTTCCAGTATCTGAAGGGGGCCTATAGGGATGCTGGGGAGGGGCTCTTCATTAGGGACTGTAGTGACAGGACAAGGGGTAATGGGTCAAAACTTAAACAGGGGGAGTTTAGACTGGATATAAGGAAGAAATTCTTTCCTGTTAGGGTGGTGAGACACTGGAATAGGTTGCCCAGAGAGGTTGTGAATGCTCCATCCCTGGCAGTGTTCAAGGCCAGGCTGGAAAAAACCTTGAGTGAGATAGTTTAGTGTGAAGTGTCCCCGCCCATGGCAGAGGGGTTGGAACTTGATGATATTGAGGTCCTTTCCAACCCTAACTATTCTATGATTCTAAGACAACAGAATACACTAGAATATACTATAGTATATCAGAACACAACTGAAAACATTAGAACATACCAGAACACAGTGTAATATACCGGAATATAGCAGAACACACTAGAATATATCAGAGTATACTGAAATATAGTAGAAGATAGGAGAACACACTAGAATATACTAGAATGTAGCAGAACACACTGGAATGCAGTGGGCTGGGCTAAAAAAAACCCACAAACGTATTACCTAATAGAACATACTAGAACTCGCCTAATTATAGCTAAATATAGCTGACTACAGTGCAGTAGCATTATACTAGACTCTAGTAAATTACGTGACAAAACATGTCATATAACATGTAATATATCATTAAAGTATATGTTGTAGTGTAATAGAGTATCTTGTAGTATCACAGTATGTGATGCAACCTAATGTAATATAGCAGAACTGATGAGAATATAGTATCACATACTAGAATATAAGATATAATATAGTATGATACAATACTGACTAATATAACATGCCCTGATCTAATATTTAACAGGATAATAACATGTAAGTTAATATAACATAACATTACCTTCTAAGTTCTGCTGCTCAGGAATTTCAAAGACTGCTTAAAAACATAAGAATATTTAAGTCTTTCTGACGGGCTTTAGAAATAGTCTAATACTGCGTTTGGGGCAAAGGGAAGCATGATGTCAGCAAGTGGAAAATATGTAAATGTCACCATTTACCTCGAGGAGCTTGTTACCTCTGCTGATACCAAATTCTTGGCACTTATTTACTTAACACAGTCCTTCCTTAAGCTCTATCAAAAGTCCTGTACCTATGATATATTATCACTAATGACAGGAAAATGACCAATGTGTGATACATACAAATGCTCAGTTTGGGATAGACAAAAGTATATGAAAGGGTATGGCTCTGGCTGATTCCAAACCCAGATTTCTTTTATCTTAGCAATATAGGATAATCATATATAAACATAGTTCCAAAATATGAAAGCATAAGTGTTTACAAAGGCTGTTGAGTGAAGGTGTTGTTTTCTGCAGTGAAATGTCCACAAAAAGAAAAATGTCTACAAATGCTAGTTCTCCTGAGGATGCCATTTTGTTCACAGTATTCTGGAGCATGCTTATGGTGGAAATTAAGAAAAAGACTAAAAGAGTTAAGATGAAGGATACTTAATAATGAGATACACTACATTATCAATACAGTTATTGTCAGCTGTGGCAGAAACAGAAATACAAACATTGAATGTCAACTTTTCAGGTTGAAACTTATGACTTCTCGGATGATGTCTACTGAGCTCTGAAATTCCTCTTAGTATCAAAATTTAGTGGTTTAAGAAATAAAAAAATTGGTTTGTGTTTGCCTTTTCATTCTTCTCCCCCTCCTCCTCTCCCGCTTTATTAATTTTGACCCTTGGGAAAGGATTTTTTTTTCTAGTCCACCTATTAATTCCCTAGGTGTCCTCCTGAAGCCAGTTTTTCTTCTTTTGACACTGAGTTCATCACTTTCCATCAGTGTCCCCATTTCCTGGATGTCAAAATGTATATCTAGTCAAATTGTGTTACCAGAATAACATCAAGCAACTCTCAGGTCACCACATCAGCAAAAGAGCTGCTTTCATAATATCATTTTATGATTGGATAACTACTGTAATTCCTTTTTAGAGTGATAAGGATTTCCATGTCAAAACACAAAATTCTTTGTGCCATTAAAATAGTAGAAATCAGTAGTTAGGAAACAACCCACAGTGGGTGACTTGGGAGGCCAGTCCTACAGGTGTTTCTAATGACTATTTATTACATCAGAGAATACTAAAGAATCCATGAAAAAGCGGGCCACAGAAATAGGTAATAAGGCTTTACTAGTGTATGAATATATGACACAAAGAATAGTATTATGTTACTGTGTTTTATAGTATAACACTTATAAGGCTACTTTCATTATGTCCCTTTTCACTAATGTATACCTTTCTGGATTTATTTTCTTTTTGGAATTAGAGTTTTACGTCTGTTATCTTTGTGGAAAGCTTACTTAATTACTGCTTGTAAGAAGCTAAATAAAAACCATTTTCCTGTTCTCTGTTCATGTTTGAAAGTTGAAAAAAATTAATCTTTCTCTGCATAGTAAACTGGTGCCACACACTCTTTTTAAACACATCATTACAGAACAGCTGAACTTTGAAATTTGGCGATGTCTAATATTTTTTGTAATCTATCTCTAAGTATACTTAAAAGATATTACTTTGTCTGAAATTTTAATGAACACAAGATTTACAGAATATTGCTGAGTACCAGGACTGTCAAGTAGTTAAACCCTCATCCTGCCAAAGGGTGGCAAACAGAAATCAGTACCAATAGACAACCCTGTATAGTCCACCCAAATGTGAGGAATTCAGCAGCAGTTCAAGATCTGACCCGAACAGCAGAACTGGAAGGGGCTATGAGAGGTCCTCTGGCACATCCTCAACAAGAAGTCAAATCTACATGATTTTGTTTCATTATTTTTTTTAATTTCTTACTTTTTTGTTAAGACCATGAGGGGCATTTCCCAACTGCCCTGATAAAATGTATCCGTCTTCACACGTGGAGCCCTTTACCTAAAGTCTAATCTGGATGTTCCTAAATGTTACCTCTTTGAATACCTACCATTTAGAAGTTCTTTTTGCAGGATGACTCTTCCAGTCTTTGAGGTTAGCCTCTAAGAAAGCTTCTAGCCTCTGTGACACAGCCGTGTGCGTTTTCTTTACTTCACTTGACAAGCACAAGTGGTGTTGGTCTCAGAGTATTGCTGGGTGCTTTCTTTGTGGGAGAAGGGAAAAAACACTCCCCAAATGAAACACTGCATTAGCACTGAAATTATAAAAAATATTGTAAGCAATAACAAAAATGCAAATCCTTGAAGACTGGAGGGTGTTTCCTTATGTTGTCTGCATTCCACAATATTCTGTATAGTTTATGCTTTCACGGCAAAATAATTTGTCAGTCTCTCATTTGCTAACATGTTGTCAATGTAACGTAAAGCAAAGTCCTGAGCTGCTGCTCTGATAGCCCAATCCTGTGAGCTGTTTCCATTTAAGCATAAAGATCTCTTTCAACAATAAAAAATGAAAGAAAAAAAAGCCATTTTTAAAGGTTTTCCTCAGACCACTCACTACAGTGACATGTGACCTTCAGCAGTTATATGACAATGAGTAAATCCTGACACTGAAAGACATCAGCAGTATTGCGTTCTTGTGTAATGTATTATTAACAAAGCCAGTGCAAATGAGTGTAGTAACCATGTTCAGAAGAGTCCTTCTACTGAAGGACTTTGGGTAGGATAGCAGTTGGAGAGACTAGGTAGTAATTACAGTAATCAATGCAATTTCATATTGGCTTGTTTTGATGACATGGAATGATTTACCCTGTTAGCTTTCAGATAGGGATCAAATTTTAAGCCCTTTAATCTCCATTGTGAATAATTATCTATTCAGATTGTCTTTTCTCATCACCATACCAAGCTAGAAGATTTACCAATACACCCAAACAAGACAGTATATAATCATTAAAACAACAGAGCTCTGTATCTTGGTGCTACTGCTATATAAATGTTAAGTAATAGAAACAGAAAGGGTGTTGGCTGATTATGTTGTTCTGATTATGGCATACAGTAATAATTATTCCTTAATCTGTTTTAGTTTGAAAGGCTTCAGCTGAGCCTGAAAGTAAGTTACACTGTCATAAATGAGACTGTAGAAATCAGGCTTTACAACTGATAAATCTTGCAATTGCAAAACAATCTTGCAACTGCAATTAAATTGCAGTCTTGCAATTTCATGAATATAACATGCTTTTTCTGCTGCACAGCAAGTTAAATGAATATATGACCAAGATGTAGAAAAAACCATGCAGAAGCAAGTTTGAGGACCACCCCGAATCAAATAAGAACAATTTAAAATGGAGTAAGATGACATATCAACTAAAGATTTTCAGCTATAAAAAACGCCCTAATTCTCTTCCCCCACAGTCAAGTACAGCCTAAAAGAAGATCAGGAAATCTGAAAACGTGGGAGCGGAATAACAATCCATCAAAGAATGGTATGAAAAAGGTAAGATACTATCTAAATTTGATTGTTGAAACAGTTTTGCTTCTGAAAATATTGCTAATTAGCACTATTTATTCAGGTTTCATTAATTAAAATTCAATTGTTATACATGTGAAATAAATTATGCAACTTGTAAATCTTAATTACATTGTTATTTGGGATAACTATGGTTCTTTCATGATCCACTCAAATGAGTGGAATGTGGTTTTCTATTTTAGAGTTGATCAGAGCTGGTAACACTGAATATAATGCACTGCTGGTACATTTAGGGAGAATTGAAGCAATTAATTATAGTCTTTTGATTACTGAGTTTTAAACACTAGTATCCATAAACCAAAAAATACAGCAGTATTTGGATGTAATATGATTTTAATACTTCATGCAGCAATTACTTCTGGTTAGACACTTAGTATTAATTATGCAAGCATGAATCATTCATATGCCAGTGGTTTATTTCCATCTGAACAGTGAAGCAGGTTTAGATTTAGGCATAGATGCAGTTGGCAGAAGCAGCACTTGCAGTGAAACAGATCAGGAGGCTTGGATGTTCTAATGCCAAGGCATTTGTAAACCTGGTAGGTTCACCATGCTCAGATAATGTAAGTCAGTATCGTTTACGGACATTAAAACATTGCATCAGTTTATGCCAGCTGAATTTCTGGCTTCCCTGAGCATCAGTTCATCCTCTTTGCTTTTAATTAACTGTTGAAAGCAGACATTGGCATCCCTGGTGAAAGCAGTCCTACCAAAGGGACTGAAAGACACATAATCAGCAATATGACAAGGTACCGGGCACTGGTAAAGCTTCAGCTTAAGTATCATAGAATAGTTAGGGTTGGTCCAGAAATGAACAGACAACTTCCAGAAAGTTAAGTGGCAGAAGAGAGTGCTATTAGATGAGAGCTCTGAGAAGAAACAAAAATCTAGAAAATACAACTTGGATTTAATAACTGGAGAAGAATTGTGCAGAAGAGATAGCTGGGATAACGGAGCGTACACAGAGTAAAGGCTGGTGTGAAAATCATGAAATGTGCTTAGAAGATAGGAAGACAAGTGAGATCAACATACCAGGCAGCAGGAAAGGCTAATACTGGACATTGGGAAAAGTTTTCTAATACTAAGAAGCAGCTCAGACACAGCTTCCTTTTTGGGGGAGCTATGGAGGTGTTCTTTCACAGAGGTTTTAAGAACAGGCTGGACAAATGTCAATTGGAAATGAAACCAAGGCAGCAGGGCCTGTGCTGGGGCAGTCCTTAAATGACCTTAGCATCTTAAGCTTTCTAGGTTGCAGAACGTGCTCCAAACTCCTGCTAATCTAGAAGTTCTTGCAAGAACTGGCTTTCACTAATACTCTGCTGCCCTGCACCTTAGGAAGAGGTGGTATTTCTGAACTGAGGCACTTCCTTAGTCAGCATGCTGTTGCCATTGATCTGATACCTGTGCCCAGCATACAGGTCTGGATTATATTATTAAGCAAGGCTGTAGTACTGACCTTTTAGATACCTGAATCCTAATTATTCTTAGACCTTATCCATTATGCATGAGCCAGAATTTGTAAATACCAAGTTATTTTTCTATTGGCTTCAGGGATCTTTTCAACAAAAATTGAAATATATCCCAACTGAGGTGTGAGAAAGTTGGATTGCCTGCTTCTCCCAGAAAGATAACTCACAAGAGATTCCACACAAAGGTGTGCAATCTTAGACCCAAGCAAACCTGGTGCATGGTCTTCACTAGAACATACCTGCTGCTGTAAAAGGGTGGGACACCGCAGACCTTTTGCAGCCCTGGTTATCTTGAAAGTTTTCACTGTGCTGTTCAGGTATGCCACTCCACAAACCAAAGCTCACATTGTGCTTCAGTGTGATACTGGAAGCTGATTTAGGTACTCTGCCCTGTGTCTATTTTAAGACCACGCTCTTCCCTAGCCTGCCTTACAACATTGAGCCAAATTCCCTTCAGAGTTACATTGAAATGGTGCTACCTCTTGGGCTAGCAAATAAGTGAAATTAGAAGAGAAATTAATAAGGCAGCCTCAAAAATCTCTGGTTTTAGTTTGGGGTTTTTTTCCATCTGTGTTTAATTCAGTATTTCAAGAAGAAAAATGAAGATTTAAGGAACAAATTTAATCAGTGGTATAAACAATTCCCTGGCATCTCTTTTTATTTTTTTTTCATTAGGAGAATGCCTGCTCAGTAGAACAACTCTACAGCTTATCACAGGAGAGATCCACCAACCTACTCCTGTTACTGGTTGCATGACACAGTGCTTTATTTCACTGTGGCTGAACATCTCTGACAGCCTGTTTTAAGCAGTCACTTTGTACATTAGATTTTAGAAAAGCTTTTCAATGTCATTGTAGAATAAGTAGGAATATGCCATGAGTGTACTTGCAGGTAAAATTAAGGCATGCTCTGGTTTGATTCTGGAAGATTGGCTACAAGCCCTGCAGCTAAAGTTTTCAAAATAAAAAGTCCTCACCAAATGCATCCTGAAAGAGTAAACAACCAAAGCAGTTTTGAACTTCGCTTTGTGCTTCTCTTGTAATAGTTATCTATCTGACCCAGCATCACACTCCCCACCCTCTAACTCTGTAAGGGGTCACCACAGCATAGTGTTACATGCTATAACTTTGCCCAGCCATTCGTGTTTAATGTGGTCACAGCCTGATTCCTTACAGTGTGCTGGGACTCCTGGCCAAATTTCATTGCTACCAGGGGAAAAAGTAAGCTTGACAAGCTGAACACTTCCAGTGCAATCAAAAGAAGACAGAGTTGCTTTTTACTCCAAATCTGTACACATACACACACATATATGTCTGTATATATAGAAACACACTCATATGTATGTGTATAATATCTTTGTAGGTGAAGGCTTCTTTATGTTGCACTTAAGATTTACAGTGTTCTGAGAGAAAAACAACTATTATTCCCCTTGTCAAAGCCGCAACTCAGCCAGTCAGTTCAGTATGAGAACGTTAAGTGAGCCATTTGAGATGTGATATTTCAGCTGCACAGCATCCGATTCATCGTATGCTTCAGAAATATATTATGTATAGCTGGAAAAAACAGAAGCTGCAAAGGCAAGAGAAATCAATTAGCAGGGAAGCCCATGTGTGAGGAAAGGCCTGCACAAAATCACCATGTTTTATTTTGAACTTCCTAAAGTTATCTCCCTCTTTTTGGGTGATCTTGAAACACAACCTCTGTATTTGGGTAAGAGGATAGACATATTCTAGTCTTCTAATTAGGCACTGATAATTTAACAGAACACTGCAGGACTTAAAGTTACACGGTAGCACTAAGCACAAAGTTGGCTTTATATCCTTTTCTCCACACCCTAGCCCCACCAAAAATTTCAGTTATGGCAAGCCTCAATGTTAGGAAAGAGACTGTTATAGTTTGCAAATAGTTTCCATCCTGGAAGAAGGCGCACCCAACAGAATTTAAACAATGCAGGCTGCAATCTCAGTTACAGTGGCATAAATAAGGATCAATTCCATTGAGGTCAGAACAGTTATATCAGTGTGAGACACATGAGGACTGAGCCTGATTAACTGCAGAGGAGTTAATTCTCATCTACTCTCCTGTAAGTCAGAGCTGAATCTGGCCCCTGTCTTCCAGTTGGACTCTATCCACACAGTGGGTCAAATCTGGCTTTGAATTTCAAGAGAATAAATGTGGAGATGCTGATTTTATAGGAGCTATTCCCAATTACAGTAGTGCAAATTTTGGCCCAGAGACTATAAAGAGTCTCAGCAGCAGCTAGCAGTTGAGGTCCCAACATACTCTGGCCAAGGTGGACATTCTGTGTGCAGTCTAAAAGCAGTTCTGTATGATTTGGGGTAACCAACTGTTTGATGACAATTATCTCTCATATGGATGAAGGCAGCAGTTCCAGAAATAAAGTGGACATGTGGGACACGCTTATCTACCTAGTTCCTCTCCCACTCCCAGGAATATTTTTTGACTTGTTAACTACTGGAACCCAATCCTCATGTAATACAGGAAATGTGTAACAGTGATACCAGTGACCTTAGTAGCGTGCAAGCTGTGAATAGCCCTGGTGAAGCTGAGCAGTCAGAAAAGACAAAAATGTTGGTATGCCAGCTGTTTACTTCTAATGCAGGTGAATGGCTTTTAGAAGTATTTAAACCAGTCGGAGTACACTCAACCCCATCTTCATTAATGGGGAAAAGGAAAGAAAGAAAAGAAAGAAAGAAAGAGAAGAAAAGAAGCAAGCAAAGAAAGCAAAGAAAGAGGGAGGGAGGGAGGAAGGAAGACAATAAAACATGCAATGACAGCATATACAAATGTGAACAGCAAAGACTCTTCCTTCAGTGGCAGGTACAGTGATATAGGCAGAGCTTAACAAAAGGCTACAAAAACAGTTGTGCAAGGTAGAAGATTTAAATGAGTACTCAAGGAGTAGGAAGACTGTCCTGTTTGATGGAGAAAAAGCAGCAGCACCAGCTCAAGGTGCTGGGCTCTGTCTGCCACCTCTTCTCCCAGATGGGTAAAGGCTGCCTCTTTACTGCAGTGGCTTAGTGCAGCTGAGTGATCTCCATTTAGGGCAGTAATTATAAGGTGAGTGAGAATTGTAACTGTATAAAAACAAGCCCCTAGTAAGCATTCTCTCCCATTATTTAAGGTTGAACTACTGCAGAGCTTAATGAATCACTGCTTTCTGACAAATAATAAGTATACCACACAAATGAATTTCAGACGAAGTGAGATTCTTCCTGAATTCAAACAGAATTTAGCAAATTGTCCCAGATGAAACAATGCAGAGAAACACAATGTCAAAATACTTCATTTTAGTATTTTCAAAATGCAGTGTTTCATTCTAGAATTGCCAAAACACTTCCCAAAACTTTCAAAACAAAGCTTTTTATCTCTCCATTTTAAAATTAGCCTACATTTAAAAAGAAAAAATGCTTTTCAATGTGTGAAACAGCACAAGACCAAAAATTAAGCCACTCCTTTGAAGCTG